ATTTTTTTTATTCTTATATTGACTGCCGACACCGTCACTAAAATATATATTTTTTTTTGTTAAAGGTCATATTGTCTTTAAATCACTTATTAAATATTTTTGAAATGCGTGTACTGCTACCGTATTATGTTCAAAGTGGTCACTTATAACACATAAGCATCTGTATTTAACTTCATTATCAGTTTTGTAATAAAAAACAAAAGGATGGAGGGTAGCCTGTTTATTAGCCCAATGATAATTTTGTATTTCATCTTGTATGATAAAACTATAATTCTCCGAAAAATCGGCAAGAACTATACAATCTGTAGTTGATAAATATTCTTTAGAATTTTTGAAATATCTTGCTTGAATTTTTGATGTATAATGATGATTTTTTAAATTACATAATTTTTCACTTAATGAATCAATAAAATCATCAACAGGTAAAATATTAGTTACTAAATCAGCTCTATCTGTACTAACCCATTGTTTATATATAATATTTTCTGGACCATCTAATTTGCAGAATGCATTTTTTTTTAACTGTCACTCCAATTCAAACATATAACGCATTCTCCCATCATACAATTATAATTTTCAATATTACAAACTAAACAATTTAGATAGTATTTATAACCAGCTTCTAACCCAGCTCCTTCAACCATAAGCATTACATTTTGATGGTGAACACAGACACACACATTATATGTGTCAGAAGATCCAGACAATATACATCATTTACGTTTTAGTTTTAGATATTCTAATTTTCAAATTTGGATTCACTAATTTAAATTTCACATATAATTCATTTAAATTGCAAAGTAATAAGCTTTTTTTATATTGCTCCTTTGAACCATTTATTTTAATATTAACATAATTTTTTTTTTCAGGGCAAATCCTACTTTTTTCATCATTGTCATTAAATTTTAAAACGAGTTCAGCTAGTTCATTACTTATAACATTACCAGTTTTTTTTAAGAGTTGAGGTAAAATTCCTTCTTTTTTAACTAACTCAAAAGTTGTTCGAACCATATATTCGGTGATATTAAACTCTACATATTTTATCTCGTGACCACAAATTGGGCAATAAAATAATAATCTTTTTTTTTTCACACAGTCCACATGATGTCAGCCGCCCTGGAACTACCGTGAGGTATTGCTTCAGGGCGACCGACGTCGCTATAAAATTCACACCACCACGTTGTGAATCAGCCCGAAGTTAATCAAGAGCTTATTTACAACGTGGTGTGGCTTCCCCGTTAGCCGGATCCTGGAGTGGGATCCGTTGACCGGGTTCAAGGAGTGGGCTTTGCTGTGGGTCGGCATATAATTCATAAAACACATAGAAACACGCCACTGGTGAGGAGAACAGGAGATACCTTAGGTAGGCTTCTTTGGCCCTCCCACCTTTTTGAGGCAATCCCTTGCCCGGTGGTCCTCCGCTTTGCACGTGAAGCACGCGCCCGTCCGGTCGGGACCGCTACAGGACGTTTGCATGTGGCCCCTTTCGAGGCACCTGTAGCATCGCGGACCCTTGTCCTTTAGGACCCGTATCCGGCACGTGCCCCATTCCACCCGGAGTCGTGTCAGTCCGACTAACGGTTGCGAAGTCTTAATGGGCACCTCACACCACGCGTAGCGGCCCTTGCCGCTCCCGTACAGTCGGACGGGACACCGAACCGGTGGGTGCCATCACTGTCTTTTTCGAGAAGATAGTGGTCAACGCCCCCACGACGTCCTCTTCCACTATCCACTCTTCCACATCGAGCAGCATGAACGCCACGGACATCGCTGGGCGATGTACACGGACGTCCATGCCGTCCAGCACCTCTTTTATCTTCGCAGCCAACAGGTCGGCCTGGGCCCCGGTACCCCGAACCTCCAGGAGAACCGCTCCCGTCTTAGTTCTGCGGGTATCGGAGACCTCAACACCCAGCGCCTGGAGGTCAACATTTTACATGACCCTCTTGTTCAAAGCCGAATATTGTTGGCCCTCTTTAAGAGGTCCATTACTATTGACCTCGGTTTTCGGAACCCTCGCCTTGATGCCTTGATCACGGGTCTTCGCGCAGTAGCGGAATGCCCGGGGTTCGGGCAAGGGTCTGCCGGCGTTTTGGTCGTTTTCTGCCGTCTGGTCACCTCCGACCATGTAGCCGGAGACGGTGGCGCAGGTGCTGCCACAGTCTAGGGCGGCGGAACCGGCAGAGACGCTGCCTCTACCGTAGTGGGTTCCCTTCCCTCGTTATCGCTCTGCAGTTTGTTCTTCCTGCGCCTTTTCCAAACCCGCTTGACCATTTTAGCGGTGGCTGGCAGAAAGATAGGTGGCGCAATCACACCATTTGCAGCTGGCACGACGGCGATCTCCGTACCCGGGTCGTCAACGCAGACCTTGAAATCAGTTTGCGTTGCCATTTCGGAACCTCCTCCTCCGGAGTGCGGGTCTGCTCGAGATCGTTCAAGGAGCGAACACTCCTTATAAGATCCCTCACGGTCGATCTCATATGGTCGTGCGGCGGCATGACGAGAACCATGTTCTCAAGCCGTCTAGCCTGCAAGCTCGCCCTGTCCAGCTTGGACCGCGGCGTACCGTCCTTATTGAATAGGTCGGCAGCCGCGAGCTCCCCGCACTTCCTCCACTTCGCGTCTGGAAAAAGTCTATTTTACCGGGCACCCTTTTTTTCCAAAACGTTCGTTTTTTTATGCTTTTTTCAAAAGTGTTTGAAAAAATTGACGGTAATTTTTGGTTCAAAAGTTATAGCTTTTTTAAGTTGAAACGTCATAAAATTAAAAATAGCTCTAAAATAGTTTTTTTTTGTCAATTTTTTGGGTTTTTTTTTCATGAAAATATTGTAAAACTACAATGACGTAACCATTACGTAATATCCTCATTTCTAAAAACCCTAAAACCAAAAATAATTTAAAAAACAAGGATTTTAAAAATTATGTGATAAAAAAATGAGTTTTTCCATCTAAATTGAAGTCAACTACGCCTGCCAGCTCCGGTGACCGATTCGAGCCACTTCGGGACTCTCATAGGACCCCATCCTATGAGAGTCACGCGCCCAAACCCCCAGAGGACAAAAATCAAGCCCAAACCTAACCTCTTTCTGTAGAGAAGTGGTCTTTGACGTCATGATCACAAATAAAAAAAAATTAGGAGTGTCCGGATTTATTGTAGAAATCTAAGAATCCAAATTTGGACGTCGAAAATACCATCGCGGTCACCAAGTAGAGTGTCAATGGGTGTTCGGTGAGTACAAAAGAGAGAGCGGAAACTGTTTTTTAATACCTGTTGAGAATAGGACATCGGAAACCTTAATAACGTTGATAAAAGACTGGATACTCCCAGGAACAACAATCATCTCTGATTGTTGGAAGGTATACACTAAAGAGAACAAAAAAAATAGCAAACTCACTCTTTTTTTAATTTTAGGCGTATGATAGGTTAACCGAACATAGTTATAACCATTTAAAAGTCAACCACTCAATAAATTTCGTTGATCCCGATACTGGAGCGCACTCAAATACCATAGAAAAAACTTGGCGTCATGCAAAAGTTTCTTTACCAAATTACAGAAGAAAAAAAGAATTCTATGGTGGTTATCTAGCTAAATACATGTTTTTAAAAACAAAAATTATATGCCACCATAGAATTTTTTAAAAATGCAGGCCTATTGTACAATCTTGACAACACTGAAATAAACTTCTGTGACGATAGAGATCAAGAAGTAGAAAAAGAAGAAGAAGATCAACAATATGAACATTTTTTTAAATTAAATTTAATAAAAAATAAAACTTAATACACGGAAAATAATTACATTTATTTACTTTGACACTGCCTTAGCACGTTTAGCATACTCACGAATACTGCTGGGACATTGTAAACGATCACAATCGATAAACAACGGTTAATTTATACGATAAATATAGATTATCATAAGGATATGAGTTCAGGTAGACGATCACACGTCGATAATAACCGACCACCCGACGATAAAAACCGAACACTTTTATTATGCGATAATAAACTAATGGATAACTTTGAAACGCTATAACTTTTGAACCACATGCTTCCGCTCGAAAAATTTAGCATTTTATTAATCTACATAAAAAAACGAATGTTTAGAGAAAAAAAGGGTACCCGATAAAATAGACTTATACCCTCTTCCGGGTGTATCTACGAACGAGATTAGTACCTCTAGGGTGTATCATCCAAGGTGACCGTCACGATGCCATCGGATGTCGGGGACGCTTCTTTCCCTGCATAGTTTCGTCCTCCCCTATTGGTTCCACATTAACCAATTCGAGCAGACTACGTTCCTCCACGGGCGAGTTTCATGACCCACTACCACCCTTCTGGGATAGCCAGTTGGTTTAGTCATATGCCTCAACGGCGTCTCTTAGACTCTTACCTGTGGCGAAGAGAGTGAGATCACTCTTGTGCCGAGATAGGATCTCGCTGAGGGTAATCTAGCGGCATTCGCGACATAGTCGGCCACATTGACGCTCCCTCCCCTCAGCGCAGAGAAGCAGCGAGACATTAGGTTCGCCCGCTCCAACTCCTCCACCACTCCCTCAAAGGGATCATGTGATTGAGTCCGTTCCGGTCTAAAACCGCCACCATCGGCGAGGTTTTCCCGCATCATTCGTAAGACGAAGTTTACCGAAATACGAAAGTCCCCGAGTGATCTGAAACCTCCGTGTGGTAGGAACTCCAAAATTTCGCGTTCTAAGAGCGGCTGGATTTGTGTCCATCTCTCGTGTTCGGAGCGGGACAAAGGAATCTCGTTTGTAAAACGAGCCCTTATTCCCGACCACTCCTCCACCAATTCACGATTGACGCCTACGCATCCGGCAATAACCTCGGTGGCTCTATGGTTACCGGAGGCGATATATGAAACCCTAGACGCTACAGAGCGCGCATCAAATGCCGCGCTCCTATTGGTCGACTTTTAATAGATTTATACAATCTATTTTAACACAATCTGTTTTTATCAAACTTTAGATGCTTCTAAATTAAACGTTATAATTTCAATGCAAAAATGATTAATTGTATAATTGATGGAATCAATAATATTAATAAGGATTTGCATTGCAAATTAGTAGAAAGTAAAAAAAATAATGTATCAGTGATACGATGCAATTTAAACAATGAAGAGGACGTTGACATTTTTTTTTGCATATTTAAAGAAATAACTGCTACGAATTGGATTGTTCAGGGGCAATTAAAAAATCCCGATAGGTGAGTGAAATATATTAATGTATAGCGTAATTTTTAAGCATACTAATTGTAGTATTTAATAGAGTCGTGTATCATAAATATTGGTTGTGCCAACACAGCCAAAGAAATAAGGTATACAAGAAAAATTTAGACGAATTAACTCCACGTAATACATTGTGTGAGGCTAAAATTGATATTTTAATTAAAAAAAATAACAGAAATACGAGAAAAAATGATGATTATCTAAAGCAAAATCCTCCTTTATGTGGACAAATTACTCTAAGCAATGAACATAATCATACAATCAATACAAGTGGTTCATTGAAATATTTACGTATTAATCCAGAAGTAAGCATACAGTACAAAATTAAAAAAATATTTAATCATAATAGTAAATTAGTAACATAGTAAATTTAGCTTGCATATTAAAATATTATACACATATGTTAAATCTAAAAGTATTCATAAAATATTTTATTACTTATTACCAATAATTTTCCATTGTTTTGATTCTTATTTTGTCAGGAATAAAATATTGTAACAACGTTATTCATTATATAAATATTATATAAATTTCCTAAAATTAATATAAAAATTGTGTTTTAAATCAATTAAACATTATATCAATTTAGTGGTTTGAATCAAAAGTAAATAATATTTTCAATTGTTGAAATTTAATAAAAATAAAAGGTATGGCTTTTTGCTAAATTTTGTAGGTTTAATGTAAAAAATAAATATAGTCCAAAATGAATGCAGAAGGTAATGATATAATATGGGTCATATTATCTTAACTAGAACATAACTAATCCAATACTTTATTTTGATATTTTTATTTCCAAAAAATACTGTTAAATGAATAAAAGGTTTTAATTTTTAAAAATGTAACATTATAATGGACTTGTTGTTTTATATCATTGAGAAAATTGTACAATGATTTTAATAGGCCTTAGGTTATTCTTGTTTCATGCCACAAAAACAAATTATTAACACTTATCTATACATACCCAAACATTTTTTGATAAATTACAACTTGATTATACCTAACAGAAAATATAATTTTTCAGTATTTTATACTGATATAAATATCAGTAAAGAAAGTTAAAATTAGTGATAACTTTTTTTATAATTATAAATAAATAACCTTATTTTTTTTAATCTTTAACTAGAAATAAATGTATTTCTCATGAATTTTTCCATTATTTAAAGGTAGTAGATAATTCATGTGTATTCTATTCATTTTAGACTGAGCAAATATTCATGCATTATTTTAATGATGGAATGCGGCCAAGTGAAGCTAGCAGACATCATGAAAATGTTATAATGAAAAATCATAGCCCTTTAAAGTTATTGGCAAATGGATCTA